CATTGGCGGGTGAACGATGAACTTTCTTCATGTTCTTTGGTCTTTTACACTGTCTTTTACATTCGCCTGCCATCCGATCGGCAGTTGTGGCTACATGGAGTGTTTGGGTATTGTAATATACCCTAGGCTTTCAAGACCGTGAGAATAAAGGTGCACCTGGTTTTGTAGTATAAAATCCTTAGTAGTTTGGTCAAGACCACTTTAAAAGATGGCTGTTGGAATGCCAGGGTATAGAGACTTTGATGGAGCAGGACACTTCTCGGAGCGTCCTGGATAGATGCTTTTTTTTAGCAAACCACCCCTGGAAGAAGACACCTCAAACTTCAACCGGAGAAACCGCGCTGCATGTTAACCAATTGGTGTTGTGTCAGTCTTCGAATTTATAAAGGGAGTTTGAGGGGGAACCAGGATGGACCACTCTCGGTTTGGACATGAAAACTGAACACTTCGAGGGACATGAGATGACATGAGATTCCGACCCCCCCTCAAAATCAAATCCCCATGAACCGCAGGCTTTCATGGCCATCCACATTTGAGAGGCACACTGCCCTGTGCCACCTGGGCAAATCACAAAATACACACCGAAAACTCCTTCGTCCCGCCGGTCTGTTTCCTTCTTCCACCGGTTTTGGGTGCCCCCCACATGGGCAAGACTTGCTCGGTGGGCCACTGGGACATCATCGAACCGATCTGGCGATGCAACGCAGATGGAACCGTTCCCACAGCGCCGGTTGGGGATGACGATTTGCAGTGGTGGTTTCAGAGTCAATCGACCTCTTTGGGACTGGCAATATGAATCCATTGGGGTGGTCGAACTCGGGGCTCAATGGCATAGAATTCCATAGATGGAGTGTTTGGTGTCTTGGTACTGCCACCCCTGTCTGCCACCCGGGTCGGATCCCGGTCCCCCGGTCTTTGCTTCGGACCTCGCCACCCCGGTCACTGCGCCAGTCGTCTCAGATGGTTGGAGACAGTATTATGGTAGCTTTGGGCCCCTGGGCCCGAACCAAAACCATTCAAAACCCAGACACTCTATGTATGCCATATATGCCTACATTGGGGTGGTTTGAGGAGTCAATGTAGACATATATGACAGACATGGAGTGTCTGGGAAAAAAGCCAAGGTTTCACAATACCAACACCCTGGTTTTTGTTGCGGAAAACCCCGGTGTTTGGGATGGTTTGCTTCGGGCCGGTCGCTTTGGGGTCCACCGAACCGATAGGTACTCCCGGATCCGGTCGACGCACGGTGGTCAGACCACCCACCCCTGGACCGAACGGAGGGGCGAGTCCGGCATATTCCCCAGCTAAGAGGAGTGAAATATACCCAGTGCATCCCAGTTATATATACCCATTCCCAGTCTTTCAGAGGCGGAATTTCAATATATATACCCTAGAAGTCCAGTTCGACTATATTTTGACCGGCTGAAGTAAAGGAAGTTCCCGAAATCAGGTCCCCTAGTCAGACCATTCTTTTTATAGTCTTTGACTCCCAGGGTATACCCAGTGCATCCCAGTTCCGGACAAGAACATCATCACCTGACTGAGCATCACAAGGTTCCTGTGGTCAATATGAGCCCTCGTACGATCTTTCTTTCACAACACCCACAACCATGGGCTTAGCCTGGCTTAGCTGGATGGGCGCACAGTCAGCGGTACAAACCCCATCATGTAACATGTTTGGTGATGTTTGGTGATTTGTTTTTCCCTGTGGTTCCAACCATGATCCTCCTAGCCCAGCCAGTCATGAAATCCCTTTTTTGATCCATACCAGGACCCGTTGCACTGTGTCACCCGTGGTTTTCCCGATCGAATGGAGGGTCCAATGACCCTCAGTCCAGGCAGTCGACGTCGCCCAGATTTGAGAAGACTCAGCCACCAAAGGAAATCAAAGGTCACCTACTCCAATCACGTACTCTACGCCATCACCAATCACCGAGACCCCATTTTGGTCCAGGCGTTGAACGCAAGCCCAGATGACCCAGATGACCCGTGGTGTTGGACCATCTCGTGTGCCAGGTGCCCAGATCTGCATCGACGGAGCCGGCCCCGTGAGTCGGTACCTCAGAAAATGGGTATACAGCGTCCTTGCTACGAGTAGCGATGGCCTCCACCCTAGTAGCAATGGCCTCCAACCTGGTAGAGATGGCCTCCACCCTGGTAGAGATGGCCTCCACCCTAGTAGCAATGGCCTCCAACCTAGTAGCTTCCTGCTACTAGTAGCGATGCTTGTACAAATCTACCTGTTTTGTTGTTCCGGCCGTGTCCCATTTTTTCTACGAACGGTCAGTCGGGTCAAGGTATATCTGGACCATCCCAGACCGTGTCCTGGCTGGAGATCGATAGATCGATAGCTGGGTAGTCCATTCACCCAGATGGTCGGATGGTCCCATGGATTATTCCCACCCTACGGCTCCAGTCATACCTACTCAGAAGGTATGACTGGAGCCCTAGGAGCTTGGAGCTCCTCCAGTCAAGCCGGACTTTGGATAGTCAAGCTGGGTCCTTGTCCACCGTGCCCACGCCAGGCTTTCGCGCCGGCGAGGGCGGCACAGTGGGTGGTAGGGATGTGGTGGCCTGCGAAGAGAAAAGAAGGGCATGACGTCAACTGGCAGTTGCTGAGAAGGACAAGTGAGCCTATAGGTGGTGATTGGCAATCACGTCCTTACACAGCTCATCTGGACGGAACAAACGAGACCATCATTTCCTTGAATACGAAGACGAAGGGAAAAAGCAAGGTTATAATCTCATGACAAAATCCTCCAATATTAATATGTTATGCTGTAGGTCTTTTAATTTAATGAGAGCTTTTCATGACGTAAAACTGGGAGTGCAGTCCCTTTTGTGACCTGACACTGGGATTTCAACAGAAGAACCAGGCAAAACATCGAAATGGTTCAAACGTTTCCCTTTGTCTGCTTTGAAAAGGAATGGTTCGAAAACATCAAACATCGAACAGGACCCTCCAACTCCAACAAACCAAACATCTCAATGGGTGACCTGTCGGCTCCTGGTGATGCTTAAGGAGACGTAAGTTGGGTCTATTCTATTACCAGGTTTCAGTGGACGATGATGCTTCAGTTGCAGGCCGAAAGCATCAACAATTCGTGAAAAACCTGGTGAGAATCTGGCCTCCACAAGGCAACTCCAATGACATGACTTTCGAGAAAAATAACTACAGACTGACTCCTTCAGTTTCCCTTGGAAATTCATGCTTCAGCAAACAAACTCCCACCTGTTCGTACTTGTTTCGTGGGGTGTCACCACTCCCAATCAAAAGGTTTTGCAGATACCCACTCTTCCTGGTGGAAGGTGCTGCCTTGCCACGTTCGTAGCGTCCTTGTTACTAGTAGGCGATGGCACCGAGCAGAGCGTCCTTGGTACGTCCTGTGGTTCAAGTTTCTGGAGAAACCTCAGAAACCCAGTGCCGCCGTGACGCCAGCATTGGCTCTTCATTCTGTCCCTGAATTGGTTTAAGGGAACATGTTACAGAAAACCGTAGTTTTGGGGTGAAAACCAATACTGTAAGTTTCCTGTAGATTTTCCCAACCAATCCATCCATTCTGTGGGTGGTGTGTGTTCCTCGCCCAATCCGGCTCGACCTTGGACCCTTCCTCCTCTGAAGGGGCGTGGTCAAATCCCTAGCTTTTGAGGGAACCGTCCTGGTAGTGCTCCAAGTACAGTAAGGCACCCGACTCTGGTTCGGTCTTCCGCACCCGATTGAGACGTCTCCAATTCACCAAACTTGAAGTCTCCTCATGAAAAAACGCCTTGACCCGAGATAAACGTTCGTACTGTCGAACCTGGGACCTGGCCGGTCTTTCTACTACCATGGAACATCCGAAATTGGGTGTCCAGTGGACTACCCTACCCTACGTAAATAGGTATCCAATATTGGAAGTGCTATAGGCTATAGGCTATATAGGTATACCCATTTTCCGTACGAACGGATCGACTTCTCCGACCCGGCCGGGGCTTCGAAAAGCCCTCCGCTGCTGAGTCCAGCCTTGGGGGTTGGGGGGGCGGTGCAACGGTGGAGGACGGTGGAAAAGGGTGAAGCGGATTCTGTTGTTTCGTTTCATGGTCCGACCAACTGTGATCAGGCATGAGGTGAAGTCTTCACTGCCAGGTTGAGGCCATGATCCTCAAGCAAACATGGATCACCAACCAGCTTGCACCCATGCGTTGACCTCCGAATCGGCCAAAAAAAAGCTCACAAAAAGGCTCAATATTATTGGATTGAAGCTTGGCACATGCAGCAGTTGCTACCCCAGAAAGTCTCGACCATTTCTTGGAAGCGATGGTAGTTACCCGCAATTAGTTACCATCCCTCCAATCATAGAAGTGGATGGCACATCCCTACCCCTAATGAAGGGGGCACCTTGGAAAATGTAGCTTACAGTTTCCAAGGTCCGCCGCGCCTGCAACGAAATCTGCACTTCTAGGCCACAAAGTGCCGCACCTTCCACGAAATCTACGCGTCAAGGTCCACCATGCTGCCTGCGCCTGCCACGAAGTCTGCACAAAGCACTGCCAAGGCGAATTGCAGCAAGAGCATTTTGCCTTATAGTGCAGAGCAACAGATATTTTTGATGAACAAGCAGTAGCATGCATCCAGTGTACTTCGAGACTTCTAGTGTAGGAAATGATGCTGTTTACACTCTCCAAACCTGCTATAGACGTCAGGGCTGAAACCTCATGTATTTTTGAATATTTTTGATATCTCAGATCCCATAAATATCGTGTGGAACTTCAGTGTGCCTGAACTCTAGCAGTCTGAAGCGACTTCTCAGGTTCGTCAGCTCACTTTTCAGGCCATCACACACTGACAGGCTGTACGTCAGCTTGCCACCCGCGCATCGAATCCAATGGTCACTTGTGCCTGTCGCTCCTCAATCGCTGCAGCTGTCACAAGTAGATTTAGCGACAAGATTCTCAACTGCCAGCAGACTCAGCCCTCCCAAGTGGCTTCGGCATCGCCATCCATCATCAAATTGGGTCGCTGCTTCTGGCAAAGCCCTCTGAAAGTGTTCGTGGCAATGCCCTTGGTATTGTCCAGCTGAGTACCCAGGGCTCTGACACAATTCTTTTGCGCGTGCCGCGCGTGCTGCCGCTTTGAGATCATCGCGCTCCGGAAAAGCCGCAACCATTGGGGCCCCAGGCCGTAGGCGGCAAAGCACCGAAGGGGGTGACCTCTTCAGGTCCCGCATGGATCTCTGAGTGGAAACAAAAGCAAACAAGAGTGGTTGAGAGACCTGAACTGGGACCCCGTTCAGTGGTACTTGTGTGGCATAGGGTTTTGTGGCCTGTGAAAAGCCATGGTAGGAAGGCATTCGAGGCAATCAATGCCCATGCAAGGTCATGAATCTTGGCAACGTCCGAGATTGAGCTGTTAAATGTTTGACACTTCTTAATTAGATATGATACAACGTTCACAAGCATGCCCTCTTCTAAGGCCAGTTATTGGTCAAGAGTCGACATCTTCAGCCAAGCTTATTGGTGGGATAGACATTTGATATTATGCTCTTCTGGAGGGAGGGAGGGAAAGAGGAGGTTGCTTTCCGGACAACATGTCCTCCGCTTCCCTGATCAGTATCACCGTTCTTCAGAATGGCGTACTGCCTTCAAGATCTTCAAGTCAAAACCTCCCGTACAAAAAAGAAGAAAAACAGGGACTACTGTGTGTACTCATTAATTCTTAACACTCTAATCTAACAGCTGTGGAAAATGAGGACAATTGGGATGGCCCCACGAAGCATAAGATTCATACGCTTCAAACTTCACTCAGCATCCAAGTAAGCCGCAGTGACCATGCCAGCCAATCGAGTGTGCACCAAAAAGGCATCCTTGTAGGGACCTCCCCAACCGAACCCTCAAAAAATGACTTTGAACCCGATTCACACACCTGGCGGCCAATCGTTCGAACATATGTTACCACCATTCTGACTCTACCGGTCGACATGCTACGCAATCGGTCGACATGCTGGTTTAGGTTCAAAACGTCTACATAGACGTTTTGTGAGATGGACCCGTTATGAACGTTTTGTCCCCTTCAGCACTGGTTCAAAACGCTTTAGGTTTAGGGTTTAGGCTTTAGGGTTCACGTTCAAGCGGGTGCTGGTTGAGGTTCGTTCTTCCCCAGTTTTCTCCTCACAAAACGTCTACACCGGTCCCGCGGGCGCCCATCCCCGCACGTCACCGTCCCCGCATGGAGTCCCGCATGGACTCTGAGCTCCGGTGGCCGACGATGGGACGACCCAGACTCCATGGGACGACACATGACACCCCAACTGATCAGTGTAGCCCCGCAGAGTGTCTGGGTCACAATATTCAGAATGATTCCTATATAATATATATATATATATATGAGGGCTGGACCCCTATGAAACGTCCCAACATTTCTTAGGGTGTGGGTTACTAGAACTAATTTTCATGTCTCTTCCAGATTGCTTGCTTGATGGAATGATTCACAGATTGGTTGGTTGATAGTTGAGTCTGTCTTCCATGAAGAGTGCTACCCTTCAAACCATAGGCATAGGTGATTTCTCATCGAACTCTCAGGTGGATCGAACCAAGCACTCTAGAAAAAGGGACAATGACAGTAAGAGGAAACTTGCACCCATGAATCACCGAAACAGGTATCGGTTAGGTATATCCTATATATAACCATCTATAACCAGGTTTCAGTGGATGATGATGGTTCAGTTGCAGGCCTTGTTCAAAAGTAGTGATCATCCTGAAAACCGACTGTTACTGGTTTACTGGACTACACACATAGATATACCCATGTTCTTCCGAGATCTTCCGTACGTTTCGACACCGACGGAATCGGCGGTTCAAACGCCTTGGGCGGTCGCCTCGTGCTTTCTCCACCGGTCGCACCGGGCGGTTGGTCGTTGCGTCGTTTCGTCGCCTGTGAAATCTGCGACAGCTCCGACGCCAGGCGTTCCGCCTCGGGAGGTGGGCTGGGTCCTGGTCCCCCCCCATCGGTCGACTTCGCATTCTTGCGCCGTCCAGTTCCTGGTCACTGACGCGGCCAGGAACCGAGCTCTTAAGTTCAGAACAGCCATTGTTAGGAGCTTCGGACGCCCAACTGGAGAGATTCTTTTTTCTAAGATCATGACATGATGAACAAAGGAGGACAAAGTGATATGATCTCACAACCCGATGTGTGTGGAATAGGTCGAACATGTAACCCTTGACACTGGGGCTGAACCTGGCTGAACCTGGCTGAACCCACACCAAGGGCAGCTTGCCCTCTCAGTGGCGGTTGATCCCTCCGTGGCGACGAAAACAGAAAGATCGCCGTCACATGATGACGCAGCGATGACGCAGCGGGGACATAGAGACAGAATGAGAGAGATATACAGTAACCCTAGGCTTCTAACCACCATCAAGTTAAAGGCTTTTACTGAACCGCCATTCCTTTACCAAAGACTTTATATACATTACAAACCCAGGTCCACAACATTATTTTCAATGGTCTTGAACTTTCAGGGGTAATGTTCTTTCTTTCCCAAACACATACCAAACACTCCAAGGATGGAATGTATATACAACACTACCTACAACGTTACTTTGGCCAAAAAAAGGGCACCATGTAGGCAAATACCATAGAGTGTCTGGGTTTGGGAACAGCACTTGACTTGCTTGGCTACACCCTTCATGCTTGATCCATTGGTGTTTCCATACAGAAACATATTGTTTCTTGGCGCTCACGCACAAATGGCACAAGTTCTTCATCGCCTCTTTGTTGAAATCTGGTTCCGTCATCGGTGCTTCTTCAGTTTCAAGGTGGTTGACCATATTCAAGTGACAGGACTTGCACGCCTGCCGTCTTGCTAAACGCTCTGAAAAGGTCTCCTTCTTGCTTTGGTCCAGAGAAGAGATGGGCACTGAATGCCTGGGTGTCCCAGCAGGAGATGCACCGGGCGTGGCACTGCAGGCGCCGCAGCCCGCTGTGCCGAAGGGCCTCACCTGGCAGTGCCAGGTCTTGTGCGGGTCAGCTAAAGAGCAAAATTCAAGCTTGGTTTAAAAACAAACATGTTCTGTTGGAAAACAATAAAACGTTTTTCTAAATAACTATATTCCGGGCATTCCATGTATCCCGCTCATATTAATCCAGAAACTGAAACGAGTTAAGGTATTCAACACATGCTGATGAAGAGTATCGTTTGCATTTGCAAGTCTTGAGTAAAACACACACACAAGCATCAGGGTGTATATCATGTGCTTGTTTTGTTGGGATTCAAATGTATGGCTGACCGTCTTTGACCGGTAAAACTTCAGGGTCAGTATGAACTCTGTCTATTTCCACTCGCAAGATCGTGCACCAATCTCCCATCTTGTGGCAAAGTTTTGCACCCTAGCAGGTTGTACAGGTGACAGGCTGCTGAAGTCAAAAAAACTCTCCAAACTCGGATGGTAAGCCCAGCGGTCAATATAGGTGAAGGTTGATGACTCCCTACTGTTGCAAACTACTCGGTCCACGGTCCGGAGACGGCGGGTTTGGCGTGTTTAAACCACGGTCAGGCGTCTGAAACACCTGGGGAGGCGGGGTTTCTGATGTTTGGCGTGGGTGGAATTTGGGTGATTGAGGCCTCAATGTGACTGGGGAGAGTGTAAAATGAGAGTTTCGCTACAATGAGAAGTACATGGTGCTTCTCATGAGCATCCCCTCAAACTACAGCAAACTACATTGTTTTGAACAAAACTAGACAACTAGACGGATATGGACCCCAAAATAGGACGAAGGGCAATAAGGAAGCAAACAAAAAACATAAAAGCAAACAGCAACAAGACGAACAAGAAAACTGCCAGATACTGCGAGCCATGGCACTGCTGTCACATTGTTGTGTCCCATATCTTCATGTCCCATGGAACTGACACGACTCAGTGTCGTTTTCACACAGTGTCGTTTTCATCCACAAGCCTAGTTTCGTGCTCCAGTTTCCGGAATCCACAAGTGTTACAGTGCTACAGTCGTTTCCATCTTCACACTGGTGATGCAAGTTGCCCCCAGAGGCTCGAGAAAGTGTATAACCATGAATGAGTGTGAGGCCTGCACTGAAAATGCATAAAAACAACTCAAAAACCTATTGACTATTGACCATGAATTAAACACAATTGAAATACACATAAATGCACTATGGCTCTCCTGTCAATCCTATTGCAATTTCACCCACTGACTGCAACAAATCCCAAACCCGCTCGGTTCAACAGGGGTGCCTGTGAGATCTGCGAGATGTCGGAGGCCATCTGCGGTTGAGAGGCAAAGGCCTCCAAGCGATGAGAAGACGTGAGAAAACCATGGGAATGCCGCATTGAGTGGAAGAAAACACATCATGGGATTGGTGCGTTTTCTACTGCCTCACCAAGTTGGTGAAGAAATCATTGAGTTGTTCCAATGAATGCTACACGGAGCATTTCCACAGTGAAGAAGCCAGTCAGTTTGGGGTTCTGTCATGTTCTAAAGTCCCTCGTGCTCCAAACACAAATAAAACAAAACAAACCAAACCAAAACAAAACAAACAAACACATGACACACAAACACACACTCTTGGCTTTCACTCACATTTGCCACATTAGGACGTTTTCAAACAACATGGCTGACATGGTTCGCCCACTGCACTTGGCGTCTCTCATCCAGTTCCATGTTTTGGGAGGAGCACGTGCCGTTTGGTCGTAGCACCACCTGCAGTTTGGTCGCTTGGCCCACCGGGCTCAGGACGCGACGCTCAGGTGACGTGTCCGTCCGGTTCGCCCCAAGGCGAGCCACGTGGACCCCCGGTCGCCCCTCCGGAGGGGTCGCGGAATGTCTAGCGGTGGTTTGAGCCTGTGAGTTCGATAACAGAGCTTCTGGAGAAGGCTCAGTTTTGACTGGGGTTCTGTCTGGACAACCACGTACGTGAGAGGGTGAAAAAGATGAAAAAGAGCCCGTCTTTGAGGTCTTCTGGTCTTAAATGCCTGTTCAATTGGTTCATTTCCCAGCCTCCACGAAGAGCCCTTCTCGCTCGTCTTATGTGCAACATCCAACAAATGCCTATCAGGTTCACCTGGGGGGAAAACAAGTGGAAAACAACAAACAATCTAAAATAATGCGTCATGAGTCATATGTCTTTTTCCAGAATGTGTTGTTTCTATCATCGGTGTCTGCCTCTGGTTCTCTCAGACCTCATCCCCTCAGCCACTTCGCGGCGCGGCCTGTGGCACTCGCGACCCGCTCGCTGGACTCGCCTCCGATGCGACTCGCGGCGCGACGCGACGATCCGATGCGACGAGTCGAGGGACTGGTGATCCCCGTTTGGGCCTCCAGTCGTACCTTCGTGTCTTAAGGTGGGACTTGGGTGGGTTTGGAAGGTCCAGTCATACCTTCTGGGGGTTAAGTGACCGTAAATAGGACCCTACTGGGGTACCCAACTGGGATAGTCTAGTTCGGGTCCTTCAACCTCTGGTTTATATGCCGCCGCCAGACAGACCCCGACTTCAACTACCGCAATGTATGGATTCATATGCCAGTCCCAAACAGGTCGTGTCTGGGGATGGAATGAGGGCGGAGATTGTGCTCTGCTTTTTCCAGGTGCTGATTTCATGCCCGTGCTCACCAGTGCTTCTTTCGTGTCAGGACCCCTCCTGAGAGGACATTTGGTCCTGGAGTCTTCAAGTACCTCGGAATATAGGTACAAACGATCAAACGCATGTTTTTACAGGGTTATGTTCCATTTTCAGAGTACTTGAAGTCAGGTCCACGAAGATAGAAGGAAAGAAGACACATCTTGGGGATCCCTGGATCGGACTGGCTCGACGCTACTTCTGCAGTTTTCGCCACACGAGTCGCCCCCAAGACAAGGGTCCCTCGGGACGCTCCTTTCGGAAGGTCTGCCAAGAGCCCACATAGGTGGGACCATTTCCGAGGGCTGCATCCCAATCACTAAAGATCTCCGGGTTCCAAGTCGAACAAAGAACCTCAAACACACTTGGAACACCGAAGAAGCAATCTCAAGCACCGAAGAAACAAATAAATAGTCATTCCGGGTTCCAAGCTGAGGTGCTCCAAGTCCAAACATGAAACTGAATGACACGCCTCAAGCACCCCAAATCTGTGAATCGTGAGAACCGTTTGACAAATGTTCCAGTTGCTCAAACAACACGTATCACACGTATCGTACACAGGTCTCCACTTCACTATGATCAAATACGGGTCGTACTTAGAAGTGCTGTTCGAAGTGTATTTTGAGGAACTGGAACTGGAAGCCATCATCTATCATGGGCACCTGCCAGGTCCCCTTGCACCAAATCACGCGAAATCACTCATGCTCACACACGGCGCAACCATTTGCCACAGCCACAAGTAGCCTCTTGTGGCTCCCACACTGGATCTAACCACCATTCCCAAGTTCGGCCCCATCTGCCGGTCCCCACCGGCACACCGAAGGGCGCCACCTGGCGCTTGAGCCGCCGGGTGGGCCAAGCGAAAGGTGAAGAACACGTCCAGTTTTTCAGTGCATATTGGTGCAGATCTGCGGATAGTAGTCACCCCGAGATGTCAAAACTTTTAGTTGCTTTTTTGATTTGTGCTTTTTTTAAATAAGCGATCATGTTTCTCAATCACTTTTGATGTAAAGAAACTCCGTGTATCTCCATGATTGAAAACCATGTCTGGTAGCTTCTTTGGAGCCTCCCTTCGATCACCTAGATCGCCCAAAATGTCGGTCGATTCTGAATACACTCTCACTTTTTAAAGAGCTGACTCTGGGGTGGTAGCCCCCGTACTCTCCAAGAGGCACCCCGACCTGGAACTCCTGGAAAATCCAGGATGCTCATCAATCATGACCCGAAAACGACCCTAAACCCTAAACCCAAGAACAATCACTTTCAATCTTCCATTTCCTTTAGGTATCTAATGATCCAGAAAAACCAAACAGCGCACATGATTCTCTACAAAAGGCTGTTCCCGCAAACAGTGGGCTGAACCATTTCCAGTGAATCACAGTGTTATGTTTTATCCTCAGGACTCCAACTATATCCTCAAAAGGTGGTTAGATCCCCCAAACCCACCCCAAGCACCTTTCAGGAGGTCTTGGAGCCTTGAGACTAGCCTTAGGTTATTGTAGCTGTAGTCTTCCGAGTGAATAGTGCGTCCCACGACCCCTTGCTCCCAGTGAGAAACAGCATGGGAATCCTGGAGTCTTGAGCAGGCCGTCTCCACCAGCCGCTTTCAAAGTTATCTCCTGTTCTCCGCTTCCGTCGGCCGCTTTCCCCTCGCTGCCATGCGGCGTGCTCGACGCCTGTGAGATCTGAGAGATCTCGGAGGCCATGTGTCGAGAGGGAAAGGCCTGCACCGACCAAAACGGACGGTTGAGAGGGAGCCAGCTGGGCCAGCTCGGGTCAGCGCGAAACGTCATGGGCCCTCCGGACTCGAACAAACCGTTTTTGTTCCATGTTTTGCATAACATATTTTTTGCAAGATCTATAAATGCCTCATCCCCAACCACTCAAATCTGTGGGATATGTTGTTGCTGAGGTCTGACGAGCCTCAAGGATCTCACCACTTTTTTTGGATGTTCAACCTTCAATGCGTGTTCTCTCACTGTGCCTCGTTAAACCATCAGGTCTGCTCCTCCCGTGGGAGAAACACATACTGATCGTCAGTTCCACTGGTTTTCCAAGTTCAAACCAGAACTGTTTGCAAGGCTCGGTTGGATGTCACGTACTCTATGTCTTGTTTAAATTTTGATACGTATACCTTCAGTTGTGAATCCATTAAATTGATTTTTTTTTCAAAAAGTGTGTATATATTTGTATATTTCACAAAATGGGTGAAATGGCTAGAAGAGGCTAGAAACTACTTATTTGATACTTAAACACAGATAACCACCTAATATACAACAACAGTTTAACATACTTTTCTATGCCAACTAATTTATACGAAACACAACTACAACGTGTCATACGGTAGGCTCGGCCGATCGCGGCGGTCTGACTGGTCGACTCAAGCTCTCTTGGACGATCGATGTCATCAGGTCATGTCACTGGTCACAACGCAGCGAACAACAAACAAGAGCTTTGCGGCCACAAGCTCCAACATTTTTCCATCGAAGCAGCCCAACACCAGCAATCCTGAAGAGCTGCACTTGCACATGAACGGCAACACATCGCATGTCCCGTTCAACTATACACACAGCACTGCATGTAGTTACAGGCAAACCTACCCACCTCAAAAGGGCTTGCTCAGGAGGTCCGGCCGTGCCCACTGCGATCTGGCACTTGCTGTTGGGGTCAAAGAGTGCGCACTGGGATTTGGTGGTTGGTGTTGAGGCCACTGCGATCTGGCACTTGCTGTTGAGGTCCGGCAACGTCTAGTGCGATCTGGCGCTGCTGTTGAGGTCCGGGAGTGCCCACAGCGATCTGGCGCTTGCTGTTGTGGTCCGGGAGCGCCCACTGCGATCTGGCATTTGCTGCGGGAGTGCGCTGCGATCTGGCGCTTGCTGTTGAGTTCGGAAGTGCCCACTGTGACCTTGCCTTTGCTGTTGTGGGGCGAGGAGAAGGAGAAGGAGTGTGGGATTCCCTATATAACAACTCTCGCCTGATAGGTGAGGAAAATATTGGAATCAACAGGGTGCCTGATTGCTACGGCTTTTGGAGCGTTGGAACGAGCTGCGAGCCTCGATCAGATGCGGGTCCATCTGCATGCCCGGCTGCATCAAGACCGTCGCCTCGTCGTCGAGGTGCTGCAAGTCGGCCTGCTCGTTGGGGAGGGTCGTGGTCTCGTGGAGCAGTCGGCACCGTCGGCCACACCTCCGGAGGCTTGCCCTCCAGGTGATTCAATAGGAAGGTCGCCAGCTCTTCCGTGCTCAAGGAGGAGGGCTCCCGCCGCTCGAGGCCGAGCTCGGCGGATGCCCTCTCCGCCAGGTCCTTGGCGGTCTCTCCCGACGGCACTTGGAGGACCGCTGTCTTGTCGCCACTGAGAGACTTCACCTTGAGATGCACCTTGCGGACAGTAGGCAACTAGAGCTTTACACTCCCGTCGCCGAGCTAGCCAGGGCTGCTGCTTCTTGTGTGAAAACAAGCCTTGTAAATCTGTGGTCCTGCCGGAACAGCTTCTGCTCCAGTGGATTCTGATGCCGCATCTCTTCCAAGGCCCATGGCCGTTCCACCTCCACATGATCCTGGGACATTAGCGGGAGGTTTGTCACAGGACCTGTAGTATTTGAACTTGACTTGGAACACCACAAACATGCCAATAGGTCTGCTCATTTCCCGGGCCAAGCCGGTCGAAAGGAGCGGAGCGGTGGCGACAGTCTCCGGACCACAGCAACATCAGACTTCCTGCTTGTACGAGTCAGCAACAAGCAGCCGTAAGTTGAGTTGGTGTGAGTTGAGTGATGTGGGTTGGTGTGGGTTAAGTTGGTGTGAGTCGCGCGGTATGAGTTGGGCTGGCGCGAGTTGAGTTGGTGTGAGTCGGAGGCGGGAGGCGGCGGGAGGAGGAGGGGGGGGCCAAACGAACCGCAAAGTGGGGAACCAATCAGCACCTCAAATTCTGAAAAAAACAACTAGCAAGTGCTTGGGGAACTCTCCTCGGTTCCCTGTTTAATGGGGAATATGGATAACCTTAGCTTCTCGGCTCCTTTCTAAGCAGCAGCTATAGAAAAAACAACTCTCACTGCGAACAAAAAATAAAATGCTCCAAACCAACTTGCGAGCGGTCCGTCCTCGCCCCTTAAGGTCCTTCCACACATGTGGGGTACCTAAGGGTTTGTATGTACCCAGAAACAGTATAAGACAAAACATGCGTACCACCCACGGAACAACCGGAGTAAAACGCGGTTAGTTCACAAGGTGAATTATCAATTCAAGCATTCAACATTTCAAGAGGCGAATGACAATGTGTCGAAGCTTTGCTTGTTTCGAAGGCATTTCTTTACTTTCTGGTATAATTTTTGCCCTTCATCGAATAAAATGGACGAAAATGGGGACGCAACAGGCGGAGGTCCCTGAGATATCAAGGGCATTTCAAGACGTACATTGAGAGGATAGGGTTGATTCGCAATAGATGAATAGTGCACCAAGTTTTCCATGAGCAAATCAGCATGTGGAACTTCCGGGCGTGAGGAAATTCCTCCCGCCAGGCGCGGGTGATAACCGAGACGAACCAGGGACGACGCACCTGTTTTCTTATACCGTGGGAACATTTGACATTGAAGAGTATTTTCCAAATAGCGGACAACGGCTCTGAGATTGTTTGCTTGATGCCAAATACTACGGGCCTCGGGTTTCTGGACTTTGGCATCGGAAGAATCAAATGCGACGGGATAAGCACGTTTTTTCGCACCATTATAAATCCACAATGGCAGGAACGATCCATAGTTGGTTGCGTAACAGATCGCCAATTCAAACCAGGTTATGCCAAAATCGGAGTTTTGCCGTGGAAGAGAGGGATCACGCCATTTAAATTTACGAAACAGGTGCCACACATTAAAGGCAATATGTGCCCCAGCGGGGCAAGCCTGGGCGACCACTTCCGGCAAATCTGAATCGAAATACCACGGGGTTTCCTCAACTGACCAAGTACTCAAAATCATCTGAAAATTAGCATATTCATCCACGGAGGCATTTGTATGCTGAGTAACAGCAGGATGTTCTTTATGCAGCTTCAATCGGGAATGCAAAGAATTTAGCTCAGCCAAGTACAAATATACTGAGAACAGCGAATCAATCTGCTGTCTGGAGTGTTCCGAGATAGCCCTAGTAGCATCCAACAGTGCGGGAAGATCACGCTTATTAACTTCCTTAGCGACCTCATCCGCTAAGTCATTTCCTATAATTGTATAGAGGTCATCTATATTTGCAGCCTCTTCCTTAATCCGATGGGACTTCACTTTATGGATGTGATGATACAAAGGGTCCCAGCACTGTACTAGGGTATAGATCAAGTCGGCATGCGCTAATTGATGGGTTTTGCATGAGAACTTATGTTCAGCAATTGCCTCAACGATCTTGACAACAAAGCTGGAATCCGAGAACACGGACATAAACCGATGAGGCTGATGGTGATGAAAGTGTTGAGCCAACCAGGTCACTGCCTCAAGTTCAGCCCGGTTGATGGATTGGAATCCTTTTGTGTGCGAGGTTTGTGTGACCACAAAGTCTTCAGGTGAAGGATCTGAAGGTGAGTGGTGAACGTGTTGGACAATAGCCCACGCAGCTCTGAAACAGTTTTGTTCACGAGGCTTATCACAGGTACCATCAGTATAAAAAACACAATGCTCCTGCGGCGTCAGAAAGGGTCGGTCGAGAAAGGGACCCAGGCGACCCAATTTAAGACGATTATAAACAATCTGCTGCTGATGGCTGGTAGCTAATGGTAACCATAGCAGATTCGGGTAACTAGACAGAACTTGGATGGCAGATGGATGGCCGTCACGAACATGCTGAAATTCCTTGCATTGCAAAAGTCTGTGCTCATGAGTGTCTATTTCACCACAAAAAGGGCACGACACAGAGGCCGTAGCATCCCAAAGGGCCTTGGTTGCCCCCGTCTGAAAGCCCCCCTGTAAGATTTAAGGCCACCAAACGGAGGGAAGCATCAGACAGTTTTTGAACGGCTTTATGTTGGGTGTAGAAATCAAAAGGTTGGAGAGTCGCTCCTTTGCGATGTTGGACTTGTTGAAAGACGAAGAATGACCAGGCTTGTTTGAGGACATGACGAATTTCTTTAGTGGATTGAACTCGTAACCAGACTTCATGACCACTAGGCATTTGGACAATTCCTTCTGGTTTAGGGAGCCACTCGACATTTAGCAGGTAGCGAGCCAAGGCCCCGCAGGGTCCATAACAGGATGGATCAGAGCAGATCCGCTCCCACATTTCAGCCGCGAGATGAGGGTGATAATGAAACAAACGCCGGAAACTACACAAGGCTGTTGCAATGACGTATAACAGAGGGTCTTCAACTTTATCACTTAACACATGCAGTGCGAGAAATGAGGAAGCGTATTTGTGAGGGCCCACTAAGACATCGGATGCCTGTCGTCGAAGTTTGGAAAAGTGGATGTCACCGACCAACTGGCTTTCCGCCCCACAAAAGGCCAAAGGCCAGATAGCAGTCTGAATCTTGCTGGCTTTTTCACGAAGCGGTATTTGTTGTTTGGCCAAGCGACCTAATCTACGTCCGGCTGCCTGCATCCTATCTTTGATACATCCAAGAACCACTTTTTTGGAGTACTGAAGCATACACCCTAAGTCCTTGGATGCTTGTTTAACTGTAATGGAGACTTGATCGTGTTCAAAAAGAGACTCAGTGTGTTTCCAAAACTGTCTCATTTCTTTAGAGGTT